TGTCCCAATATTGGGACATGTTTTTTTAAAGGAGGATATTAATCATTAATGTTAAGGAATATGATTTCAATTTTGAGGGACAGCAGGAAGACAGATACCCCTGGATTTAACGATGGCAGAGGAACACATTTCAATTGTAAAACTACATTACCTCCCTTGGATTTCCCCCTCCTATCTTACTTACTTGGAAAACCATAGAATGAATTCACCCAGTAACTACCCCATCTCCATCTCTGATGTGGCGGCCTAGGTTCAGCTATTCAAAGATTATTATTATTTTGACAGTCCTGACCGGCTAGCAATATTCCACATCAATAAGGAGATTAGTCGGATCCAGTCATAGGAGGTATCTGTGTTATGAAGTAGTAGTCCAGGATTGTCAAACTCGTGGGACATGGACTGGATGTGTCACATGCTAGCCACAACCATGTCTGGTTTAGAAAAGGACGAAAAAGTCCCGATACGTCACATGACACTGCCGTGATGACACGAGTTTAACAGCCCCGAAGTATAGTCCCTGGAAAGTTATAATTGCTGTCCTAGAATCGAAGCATCTAATGTAGAGACTGTTCTGATAGCTATGGAGAGAAATTAGTTGCATTCTAAAGTGAACAATTTAATTTGCAGGGAATATCTAGAGGGTTTACTACAGAGCTAGATGCTTTATGACTCACAAGCCACATCCAGCCCTGGAGCAGCAGCTTGCTGTTCTCTCATTATTTGGGTTTAAATTCCATTGACTTTTCTGGTGGGAGTCTTTTCCGTAGTCTGCTTTTGCATCTTACTTTTAAGCTTGTATTTTTAATGTCCCTTAAGGTTAGCAGGTGAATTAGCAAGTTATAAACAGAGTGAGAAATGGGGAGAGAATCCAGAGTCTAATTCAGCTCTTGCCTACCAGGTAGTGAAATATCTAACAGCTGGTTCCCCCCCCCCCCAGTTCTGTTTGAAGATTCCATTCAAGTGATTCAGAAACTGCAAACTTCTTAAAGGTGAGAGGAACATTTTTGTGTTCCTTACAGATTTTTTTGTAAAACATATTCTTCTATCTTTGGCTGCTTAGCAGAAAAAAGGAATCCCAGACTGATGCCAGGACGCTTCTTTTTCTCATGTTGTTCAAATCCATTCAGAATCTTTGCCTGCACCAATTTTACCTCACTGGAACAACTATATTTAAAAATAGCTGGTACACCAAATAATAGTCTATAATAAAGTTCCTGAAACCTAGCATACTTATTTATAACCAAGAACGAGCTAAATGAGAAACAAAAGCAGCTAAAATCCACTTTCATAAAGTAACCTAACACTGAAAGGGGAGGAACTGGGGAAAATAAGGGTTGCTGAGCTAAGGCCTTGGCTTCTCCGAGATTACATTACAGGCGCTTTTCTCCCCCGGATATGTAAGAACGGCAACATTATTTTGTACTGCTTTTGTTTTAGAATAGAGAAGGCGTGACGTGGAGAACTGGTATGCCACCATCTGTATCCCCGCAAGCATTCCTGTTTTCCACCTCCTAACAATGGCTCTGGAGGAAGAAAAAAACAGGCAGAGACCCCGTCACTGCAACCTCGCCCCTCGGCGGGCAAAGTGCCCCTCTTGCCCCAGGTCGAGCGCGAGCGCCTTTTAGGCTGAAGGGGCAACCGGGTGACACTGAAGAAAGCCAGGCGGCAGAGACACGTGGTGGGCGCTTCCGCCTCGAGCCGTTCGGAGAGCCTCGCGCACGAGGAAAATCTGAGACTTCGCCCAGGGTCGAGCCGCTCCGCTACTTCCTCGTGCCCGCAAAGTTTTCGTCGGTTCCGCCCCCCTCGGCGGTCTCGCCTCTCCTCGCTTCGGCGGTGCTTCGGAAGGCGAGAGGCAGGAATGCAACGGCAGGTTCATCCTGGCTTCGGATGTGCTGCGCTCGGCATGGTTCTTCGGCCGAGCCAACGAGGCTGAGACGAGAGAACAGGAGTCGGAGCCCTGTAAGTTTGTCTGCCTTCAGTTTCCCCAGTCCCCCCCCCCCCGCCTTCCCGTCGTTTCGGTAGTTATTCCTTTACTTTCCATTGGTCAGCGTGGTTCTTCCCACCTGGCGTCCCGCGATGGTTTTTGGAAATGGGCGTCTTTTAACACAACCAGATGGAGGTTTGGCAGCCGATGGGAACTCTGATCCGGCAGCAAGCAGTCATCAAGCAAGAAGATTCATCTTTCTCCGTTCCCAATGTTTTTGAACGGGTGGTAGTGAGTGTGCTGCGTAGGGTAGAATTTTTAAATATTGCAATTAAAAAAAACGAAATGGGAAGAATGCTTTATTCTGTTAAGCTGTCCCTTAGGAACTGCTTTAAAGGAGACTTTCTGATTCTAGGACCGCAAGAATCTAACTAGCTAGTATGGCTGTATTGACAGGAAGCAATAATAGCTGTTGCTCAACACATCTGGGACAATAAAAACCCACTGAAAAAGTCTGCACTGCTGTGCTAACTTGTCATGGGGATACATCTGTAATAAAGTTCTGTACTCATTACTCTAAAACAGGTTTAAAAGTTCTGAATGTTATGTAGGGAGCTAGATGTAGAAGACTCCTAGATACTTAATGGAAAAGTACTCCTTTTTAAGGTAATTTCCCCCCCTATTTTTGCAGGTGTTAATATAGACGCTTTTTATGAAATGTAGAAACAATTGTTGTGTATCACTTTTTAAAACATTTCTTTAAGGAATGTTGCTTTTCTGGGAGAGGCTATGCCAATCGAATTATGATCCAGTAACTGAGTTCACACAATAGAAGTGGTACCCATGATTAACTTGATCATGACATAATCAATTAACCAAGTTTGCATAAACCATTTGTGCTGGTTCCCATAATCTTCTTGTCTATTTGTGTAGTGTGTTCAAATGTTAATGTCTCATGGGAATGATTGTGAGAAGAATAGCTTTTAGCAGGTAATATGTTCCACTCCACTTCCATTCAGAGGATGGAAAGCAATGGGCAGATGAGTCAAGAAAGGGCAGGTTTAAGGTTTAAGGGTTGCTAAGGACTTGTTAATGAGCTGAATCCCACAAACTGGCTATGATATTCTTTTTGAAGAGAACAAAAGAAAGTAGTAGAGGAGACGGGGACAAATAAGACATAATACTGAAGAAAGGAGCACAGTGACAAGGCAAGTTAGTCCTGAGAGGGAAAGGGCTAAAACATATTGACTGGGGAATTCTGGAAACTGAGGTCCACACATTTTAAAATTGCTAGAGATGAGAAACACTGCTCTGGTGTATCCTTATTCTATAGGATCCTTATTCTATAGGATACACCAGAGCAGTGTTTCTCATCTCTAGCAATTTTAAAATGTGTGGACCTCAGTGGACCTTACGCTAGCCATGCCCACGCCTAGTTTAACGAAGGGAAAAAAGTCCCAATACATCACATGACGCCACTGTGATGACACAACTTTGACACCCCTGCTATAGAATGTATCCTTCACTATGTGGGTTTACATCGAAACAGACATTGGGTTAAAATCAAGCACATTTGGCTTGAAATGAGGGGCTTAAAAAGTTATATAGAGTGAAAGACAAAATTTGGTTTCTATTTTTAAGATGGGATTATCTTTCTTTTTCTAACTAGGCAGTTCTCTGCAATCTATCTGCAATAATCCAACTAATAGAATATGCACAGTGATAATCAGATATTATGTCTACCTGTTCTTTATTTCATTATAGTGATGCATGAAATATTTTGTCAGGTAACTCTGCCTGGTCTGCTCATATACAGCAGTGTTTTACCAGTTTTTATTCTTTTTTGTTTTTAGGGAGTTAAGATTTTATTTCCCTGGAAAAGGGGAGGGAGAGAGATGTTTGGATAAGCTATCCATAATTCCCATGTGAGACTAGAAATACTAAAGAAATATCGGGGTGTCATAGGAGGGAATATTCAACAATATTAAAACATAGAAGCAGGTGGGCTGATCAAAGTCCCACTACTCCTTTTTATCTATGCAATGCATGTTAAAAGGGCTGGAGCTTTGATAACACAGTTGTGTCTGTCATTTTGAACTTTTGAGTCCCTTTGAAGACATCCCTGAGCAATGTTTGCCAATGAGTTCTTCAGTCCATCCATTCCCCCCAATAGGAGTTTAAGGTAGGAAATGGAGAAAATGCAATTTTCATTGATAAACACATCAGAACTACCTATGAGAAGCTAGCTTTTCAAGGTGCTTTAGAAATGTTTTCAGATTTTAGATTGTTTGAACCTTACAAAATATGGGGAAGAAATGCTACTAAATTTACCCTTTGTGAACACACAGGGATGCACATACACCAAGCTCAGTTCCAAGAATTTTAGAACAGAGGCTAATGTGTATTACATTGGATGTTTTTGCACACTCTCTTAACTAGCCATGCAAAACCTTCTAGAATTTCTAAGCATGTGTCTAAAAATTTGTTTGTTATTTGTGTGCAGATTTTCCACTTAGAAGGGCACATATAAACATTGACTTGGCTTCCACCAAAACATAGTGTAATAAATAACTGTAGAGTTTATGAACTCTTCTCCTCTACACTCAGTATCCCAGTTCTTTCTATAATTGATGACTGACTCTACCTTTTATTTAAAAGAATTGTCTACATATTTGATATGGTAGTAGTGTAATTACTATTGCATAAACTGACATTGGAATGGAAACAATGCCGACTTCAGTCTATCCTTACTAATGGAAATGCATTGTGAGCTTTGGGCTAATCACTTTTTATCAAATCAGCTCACACTTTTCATGAGGATAAAATGAAAAGCAATTTCTATCAATACCTGGTGATATGCTCAATTATTAATTAATTATTTTTTGAAAACTAATAATAACTTTCTAGGTAATGGTTATATATTAAAACAGAATAATGCATCTAAAATACAATAGAATGAAGTTACTAAAAGTACAGTACATAGTAAGTGACATAAACAATAAACCAGCAGCATTTCAAAGGGCAGTAAGAACTACAGTATAATAATAGTCCTTGTAAAAAGCAGATAAGAACTCACCAAAATGAACATTCCTCAAATTATTGTGCTACAAACTAGAAAGAATGTTTAGAATCTTGCTAGAATATATTTTCTTTCAAAGATTTTCTAGTAGAAGATGGTATAGCTGACTTTTGCTTATCTTAGAAGCTAAACACAGTGAAACCTGGAATAAATGATTGCTTAATATAGGTATTCGGGAAGTTACATAAATAGCCTTGAAGAAGACAATAGCAAAACAAAAAACAAAAAAGTATTGACATTGCCCCCCAAAATTGTATGGATGTCACTAAGAGTTGAGTTCTAATTCAGGATGTCTTGCCAACATTTCTGGATGGAGGTTCTTTATCTTTTCATCAAGATATTCTCCCTTTAGCTCAGTTCATCAAAAGAAAGATGATTTGGATTTTTCTGCCGAAAACAGAGAAATGCAGAATTGAATAAATCTTGTGCCAGTCCTGAGATACTTAGGGTAACTGTGCAACCATATGTCTTGCATTTGGTAAGTTATCAATTTTACTAGCTGTTTAAAAGAGCCCTTAGGTTTTAGCATACATTTAGTACCTTGCATAACGAGAGCATCTGGACCCTTATTCACTATTTGTGAAGAAAGCCAGGCTTTTTGGACATCACTGATTTCACTTTTCCCATCAAGGACAATGTATATGGATAGTCTCAATTAACCAGGTCATGTTTGTCCAAAGGCTCTTTTTCCAAAAGACAACTGCTTGTTTTTGTGTTTTTTTCTTTCAAAACATTTTGCTTCTCATCCAAAAAACTTCTTCAGAAGTGAAACATTTTGAAAGAAAAAATCCAAGCAAGCTCATTTCCTTTTGGAAAGGGCGCCTTTTGGGAAGTCCATCAAGGACAGTGTTCCATTTCTGAGACTCTGAATCTTGTCAGCATAGCTGAGTCTCACCTGAGCTTCCTGCTCCTACATACATTTGATGTACTATATCTTTATGGTTACTAAGGTAAGGAAATAAAGAGAAGGTAAATGTCCACATGATTTATGACTGTTTTACACCATATTGGCAAGACAGAATAATATCTTATCAAAAGTTATTTCAGTTTTTGTCAGATACTCAAATATTTGCTTGTGTGAAACCTATACTAGTATTTCTGCAGAAGTATTAACAATGTTGGGAAAAATTCAGACCACACATATCTTACACAGTTAATTTATTTAGATAAATTAGATCTTTTCTTTTAATATGAAACATGAAATCTGATCCAACAGAATCAGTTGTTAAAAGAGGAGGGTTAGTAGTACAATACAAGTTATTAAAAAGCAGATAGAGATGGGTTTTTCATTACTGGAGGCTTTTAAGCAGAAAGTTGATGGTTACCGCTCAAGGATTCTATACCAGGGGTCTGTTTTAATGGCAAAAAGTTGAACTATAGTATAGTTAATCCTCAATTTAGCGACCATTCAAAGTTACAATGGATTCTCTATTATAGTCCTAAATCAAGGGCTAACTGTAAATGAAGTTGCTCCAGTTCTATGATTCTGTATGATTAATTCATACAATATGTTAAATCACAATGTGCTTGGTTTATTTTTAGCATATCATATGGTGTGAACTTAGCTCTTATGATAGGTTATGCTTTAGTATATTATCTAAATACATCAAAATGTGATGTATTTTTTTAATTTGTTCATAGGTAAAGGGACTGTGACTTAGTGCAATGTATGCATTCTAACATGGAAGCTATGATTTTGGTTACTCAATGCTTCTTCATTTTCTTATAGTTTCTTGTGTATACTTAAAGACTTAAAGAACATGGATAAAGATTACTGATGGCCGTATAGTAACAGAGAGCTTTGTGTGCCATAGGAACCACATGTGGCTCTTTAGAAAACGTGGACTAAGGAGTACATTTTGTGGAAGGAAATATCTTCCACAGAGGGGGAACCTTTGATGCATTTTCTAAGTGGGAGGGGACTGTTTCAGTAACCCAATTCCTGCGATCCTGGCAACTGTTTTATTTTTCAACCTGCTGCAGAGGCTTTTGTGAAATGTTATTCTATCATGTGACTGGAGTTTTCCCCTGTTCTTTCTTTAGGAACGCTTCAAAGATGCAGCATTGATCCAGAAGCAGCTACTGATCTGCAGATCTTGCTGAAACTCCTGAATTCTGCATAATGATGTCATTGGGACACTTAAGCAAGGGAGTCAGCCTAGATGAACTTATTGATATCTGTATTGATTCTTTTGGTGAGTTGATTGTATTTAGCCATTTTTACAATTTTTGAGTAGGTTTCTTTTAGCATTTGAGCAATTTACTTTGTAATGTTTCATAATGTGTGACTTTACATTTAATATTATTCTTACAAGTATGAACCATTGGTTGTTTTAGCAATATTGAGGATGCAAGTGCTGCCTTTGCAAAAATTAACCTGTCCACCAGAAATATCACAGGCACTATTCCATGCAATCAATCTCTGTCCAGCTCTGAATAATAGACATATAAATAAGTAAAAAATGTAAATGGTATTTTGTAGAACTGAACTAAGTATCAGTTAGATAAGGATTTTTTTTATTTTTCACTTTTAAAACATAACTCACAACTAAATTGACAGCTAATTTGAAGGAAAGTACTTGTTCCACCATAAAAACAATATTTTAGCCTTGTAAAAAGACCATAATTTATAAAATTAAATTGTTAAGCTTTTACTTGCCACATGCATTATTCATGTTTTTACTACTTTATTGCCAGAACAACTTTGAATAGAGATAACAGTATATAGCCAATCCAATGTATGCTTTACAACATGTCCAAGTGGGTTGAATGGGGCTTAGTTCCTGGTTTAGTTGGATTTGTAAATGTTTATAATCTTTTTACCATTTTTATCAGTTTCCTTTAGTTTATAAATTGCTATTTATTTTGTTCATTAAATGCACATACATGCAATAATTTTTGTTAGAAATGCTGGAATTTTTATTTTTGTGAATTTTTATTTTAGAATATCTATGTAGATTTTTACACTTTCATTTGCTATATCTTTTAGATTGTATTTGTTTGTGTTCAATGTATAACTGAAGCTATATTATTCTAGGTGCAGGTGAATAAGCTGCTTTTTGTTCTTGTTTATTCTTCCAACTACATACAATGCACAACAAGTAAAGACAGTTAATCCATTTGAATTATAGCTCATTCATGTGCATGTAAAATAATACACTTTGATAGCTTTTTTCCCCCTTGTGAACAATTTAGAACAGTGAATAGGCTTAGCAGTTAACACCAAACCTTCCTAATTTCAGAGGAAAGCATGCACATAATTTATTTATAACAAATACAGATTAGTTTAGTGGAATTTCCCACTTATTGGAATTTCCCAAACAAAACATGTAATGGTTATGTTTTATCCACAGTGCAATAAAGAAGTTAAATCTATACTTACACAATTATCAAAGTAATATATATTATTCCTATTTCTGCTTTAAACAAATTAAATGAACTAAACATAGTATCCCTTTAGTGATGTGTTAAAACAATTGAATTAAAGGGAAACTTTCTATGTATATTATTTACTTATTTGATTTTTTTTAAATGCCACCTTTTATTACTTTATAAATAATTCAAAGAAATGGACATACATAATAATCCTTTCTCCTCCTATTTTCCCCACAACAACAATCCTGAAGAAGAGGATTGGGTGAGAGAGAGTGATTGGTCCAAAATCACCCAGCCTTGTTTCATGCTTAGGGCAGGACTAGAACTCACAGTCTCCTGGCATCTAGCCTAGTGCCTTAATCTCTAGATCAAACTGGCTCTCATCTCTCAGTTAATGTTAATTATTTAGCAATTAAAGAAAGCTGTTTTTCCAAATATGATAAAGATAGCATCATGAGACTATTGCTGAGCAAATTGACATGAGGGAAATGCAGATTCATAGATTTGGTTGACCTTCTGAGTTGATTTATCTATTATATTCCTGTAAATTAGTTGTGAAAAAGAATAAGCAACTGTGTATTAAATCACTTTATATAGTACAGTATGTTCAAATATTGTGTGTCAGCTTTTATTGTTTCTGAAGTGTTCTTGTGTTGTTTTAGTTTTACAAAGCTCAAGAATAGCTTGCATTAGACATTTAAAAAGTGGGTTTTGAAATGAAACTCTTATAATTTTATTTACACATACTTGAGTGAAATTGGTTTGGAGAAAGTGCATTGTGTTGAATATGCTGGGACTTCCTAATAGTTCTATACAATGAAGAACTGAGTATAATAAACCAGAGAAGTTTCAAAGAAGTTTCTCAATTAGTTTGGAAAACTATAAGTAATACATTGGTGGCTTGTCTGCTATAATATTTCAAATGCAAAACACTACATGTTCAATTAATAATAGCAGTAGTGAGTAGTTGATACATTGGGATTGCTGTCAATGAAGCTTTTGCAGTTCAAAAGGTACACACAGGTTAAATGCAGTATTATGCAAAAGCGTTTTGTTTTGCTAATTTTAAATTAAATTATGTCATGAAGGATAAATCCTTAAGATTTTAAGCTCACATAATGCAATTTGGTTCAAAATGTGACCACCACAAATTGTTGATTATGTAGGATTGTTGATTATATGATTATGTACTTTTGGAAGAGATGTTTTGTAAATTTCTCACTTGGAATTAAAATGAGTTTTAAATCCAATATACATGCATTTACAATATATTCCTGAATGGATTTACAAATCTGTATCTGGATGGTTGTTTTTTTTTTTTTATAGAAAGGATCTAAACATAGTTTAGAAATATATGTCAGGAATGGATAATATGTAATTCTTCAGGTGTTA